TAATGGTGCTCTATTAAAGGGAACCCTTAAAATTAGTGGCTACGTGCACGCCACGTTGAAGAAAAATAGTTGGAAAATGCGCAAGTGGTTCATTGATTTTTTTCTCAAAAATTTTTTTTGGATTATAAACTTTAGACCCAAAAAATAAAACAAAATAAAATAACATAATTTTATGTCCCTTTGCTATGAGCATCCATACCCCGTATACGCCCAACCTAAACTTCGGTTTTTTATTCTTTGGTGTGAAAAACATATGTCGAGGTCGGGTATGGCGTATTTCCTATGTGAATTTATAGATAAGGATCTTTGTTTTAAGAGGAAAGCGATGCGTTTGATAGACTATAATACTTAATAGATTGTTCGTGCGGTAAGGAAAAAGGGGAAGAAATAAAGACAGAAAATGAGGTGGTATTTTATGTTGACGTCCCTATTATGTTGGTGATTTGATTGTAATGTTACATTAACGAAAATAATTATGGATGTAAAGGATAATCCAACATAGTCTAAATGTGGATGGTCGGGAAATAAAAAAATGTTTGTCTATGCATATTGCATGTTTATTTGCCCACTCCACTTTGATCTAGAGGATCTGACTGAAAAAAAAAAGTTATATACAGTTTGTAATCAACATCTCTTTTTATAAAATTATGGATGAGTATTTGATTTGCATTTTGAATAAAAACCACCTTGCAAATTTCTATTGGGCATATTATGTCATATGTACCTCACATAAGAGTCTTCCAGTAACAAAGTATTTATAATTTTTTACCTATTATTAATTTTTTATACTTATGGGCAAAGGTTTGTATTCTTGTTTATTTTGCACGTGCATTTGAACCAAGCATGCCCCTTATTGTACGTTAAAGTGTAGGACGAGAGGTTAACCATTATATTTGTTAAATTTAATAATAATTTCATAATAGGTGTTAAACGTTTGTGATCATCAAATTGTTTCATCACTTTTAACCAATACTACCTTCGAATTGTTTTTTGTTAACCCTTTATATCCCTGTATGCCTAGGCTACCAGACTGCTCCGGGGTGACTTGCCCGGCCGGGCCAAAAAATAAAAATAAAAAATTATTTTTAAATTTATTTTTTATTTTAAATTTGCTGAAGAATTTTAATGTGACCCTGAGGCAAATGTTGTTCAGTTTATTTTTCTGCATAATAC